CCCCAAAACCCCAAAACCCCATAATTCAAATTAAAAATATATTCGATATGAGTAAATAAAATTTAATTAAAAATAAATAAATAAGTGAAATCAATTGAAAGCATACTATTCTTTCAATATTTAATGAACTTGATCTTTAAATCAGTATCTTTAAAAGCTTTTTTGTTTAGTTTAAATTGTCGTTGACTTTTCAAATGGACTTTAAAATGCTTCATCATTTATTTCATTAAATCTAAAAATGTCATACCCATTATAGTTCTCTTGAACTTATTTTTTTAGGAAAGGAATTTATTTTTAAGCCAAATTCGATTCTTCTATATCAATAACTTTTAGATTTTTCTCTTAAATATTATCTTATTTTTAAGATGTATTGCTACCATTATTAATTATTTAGTCTAACTAGTTGTATCTACTTTATTATATTTAATGATATTATTTCTATAATGTTCTAATTTTCTCAGTCTATTTCTTTCTGTTAGTTTGTTTTTTAACACTCTTCTATATTTCAAATTCTTGATTAAGCCTTTTTTATTATTCATCTTTTTTTAATTCAGAGGATGAGTATCTCGTTTTATCAATTGTAAAATCAATTGAAGGTTAGAGATTGAAATTTTTCTAGATGGACTAAAAACTATTAGGCTTAATATTAGCTGGCTATTCGATATATATGGAATTCTTGTTTGATATTTGTGTTGAGAGATTATATAAACTTGATTGATATATATTATATTTCAAAGCATTTTTTTCAAGCTTTCGTTTCTATCTAAATTTCTTAATTCCATTTAAAATGCTCACTGCATTATGATAAATTAAGTTACACCAGTTAGCTATTATTGTAAACCCAACAACAACAACTATAAACCAACCTAAATTATATTTCATCGTTCTAAAAATATTTATAAAAGGAAGTATCTTACATAAGATCATCAGCAAAGTCATCAATTGTTATTGGAACTAAAATGTATGATACAATCAATAAGGAAGCTTCATTTAGAAATTCAAAAATCATAACTCCATGACTTTCCATAGGCTTATAGCTTACGATGAAGCTCATAAAACCCATACTAATTATTATTTGAGTAGTCAATTGCAAAGCAGAATGCTCATCCATGAAACAGATAGAAACAGCAAATAGTAATCTTCTTGTAAAAAATATAGTAGGGTAAAACACAGCAACTTCTGTTGTTTTTAAATTCATGTACATTGTTCCAAACTTAGTCTAAAACTAATCCTAAGACAACATCTATTAATTTCTTGCTAGGAATGCATAGGTCACATATGGAGTTCCTAGAATGAAAAAACCCATTAATGTCGTTACTATTGTACTCATAAAGTCAAATTTCATCTATAAAATTAATGGAATTTGATAATTTACCTACATTTTTAATTTAAATAAATAAAGCTAGAGCGAATCCTAGGTAACCTTTCAATAAGGTTCGAAGAAAAGTATTGAAAAACAAAATCTTAAGTATCTTGTTAAATAAAGCTTAAACTCTAGTAAATAAGTAAATTATTATTATTTACTTTTCATATTTTCTAATCAGTAATCTCAAAAGCAATATCAGAGCAGCAAATAAAATAAATGCAAAAAATGCGAAAAACAAAAGCCCAACATTACTTAAAATATTTGTTTATTAGTAACTTTATCAAGTTAAATTATGTTGAAAGAATTCTGATTGATTAAAAGATATCCATACTGTTCATTTTACCATCATCAATATTATCCTCTTAACCATCATTGTCGCCTTAAAATATTCCTATTAGCTGAGACATATACTCTTTAGGGATGATGTTAAGGTTTGAGATATCTTTGAGACTTTAAGCAAATAAAATGAAGTTTGAAGGAATCTACATCTAGAGTAAAGGTATCGCACAAATTATCTGCAGAGTATTAATTAGCATCCAAAGTTATTTAAGAGATAATCCTAAGGCCAAAGCCAAGAAAAAATTAAGCATTACTGAGCCTACTAATGTGCTGCTTGAAGATGAGCCAAATGATTGAAGTGCTGCAGTCTAGGCTGATATTTTTAATCAAAATTAATTTTACCGTTATTAGGTAATTGTGGTGGAACACTCTTTTTAATGGTATATTATTAGGGCAAAGCACTTTTCAATGTTTCTGCAATAAAATATTAAGGCTTCAAAAACTCTACCTTCAGGTCATCTTTCTATAAAAAATTATAAAATTATTAAAAATTACACTACTGCTTGAGACCAATAAGGGCTCATTAAAAGTCACCTAAATCTTAATTCCAGTATTTGTAACAGAAATTATTTCCCAAGTTTTTATGAAATTCTTCATGCTTTGAATTTTAGAATCTAACTTAAGACTGAGAGCAGTTTGATTTTATAATTCAGATTCACTTTAATCAAGAATCCTTTCTGAAAACTTGATGTCTACTTCACCCATCATTGAAATACTTGAAATGTAAGCTTTTAATGACTTCTCAACAGTTTAATAGCTTACTTTTTTACCATTGTCAGATTTGACTTTGCTATTAACGTTTAAGATAAAAGAGGAGGAGGTATTCTGGGCTGAGGAGTTTGTAGAATTATTAGTTTCAGTAGTAGTAGCAGGAGTATTTACAGATGCTTACTCCAATATAATGCTTAAGTGTATTTTATAGGTTTGACTTAGAGGCACTGGATTATCATCTGTTAAAGTTATGCTGAAATCATATTCACCTACATTTGATGCTAAGGCTGAAATGCTGATTGCTCCTGAGATATAACTTAAGAATTGCTTAGTCTTACCATAAGTGATTTAAACATGAAAAGAATCGCCATCATCATCAATGATATCTGGAAGTCCAATGATCTTTTTAGATGGAGCCAATAGAGTTAAAGACCAAGGAATATCAACACTAAATCTTGGAGCAAATTTATTATTAGGTTTTATTATTACCTGAAACTGTATTGTTTCACTTAACTGATATGCTAAAAGAGAACCTTATAACTTTACAGTATGAGTGCCTATTGCACTAGATGAAGCTGAATATATTATTATTTGATTATTAGCCTCATCAAGACTAATATAACCATTATCTTTGGTTTCAACTCCATCTATAAAAAGTTGAAATGTGAATAATCCACAGGTTCCAAAGCTTTCAACCCAGTTTAGAGGTATTAGTATTTTACTTTATTTAAGAAGATAAGTTTTATCACTAATAATAGGTGCTGTTATTATTGTCGTCGGACACCCTTTGATGAATGAAACTTTAAAAGTTAACTATCATAGCGTCAAAGCATATGTTCCTTGTTAAAAACTTAATTTGAGAGTTTTTGATTGTCCATTCATGTTTAAATCTTAGCTATTAATAGTCAATTTATTAGTCCCTGCTTCATAAGTAAATAGTGATGAATCAAGTTCTAAATCATCTACTGTTAAGAGTGTGTATTGGTTATTGCCACATTGAATTTGTGTATAAACTGTAATAAAAGTACTTAACTATTTTGTTATAGCCCCAGAGCTAATATAATAAATAATATCCTCTTAAGCTGGCGCAGTAATTGTTTACGAGGGACAAGGATTTATAAGTTTGAATGTAAACTGACCATCTAAGTATTAGCTATTTTATTGGATTGTTTGTCTAAATTTTAGTATGTAAGATCCTGCTTTTGTCAAATCGTTTGAGGAGATAGTAAGTTTGTAATTACCATCAAAGGTCATAAATATAGGCAAATTAGATATTATTGACGTTTTGATAATAGCATCATTACATTCTGTTTGCATAAATGTTGGAATAACTACTGATAATGGATCAGAAAATATAAAGTAGTCAGGAATTACAAATTAAGGGACTGTCATATCAATTTTCTTAGGGGAATAGTAGGGAGTAATATCTAAAACAGATGAAATTTTTAAATCTGCTAAGGCTAACATGACTTTTGAATCTGTGTATAAGTGAGTATTATTTTTTTAATATGGATTGAATGTGTTAAAATCGAAAGTTGAATAAGATATTCCTAAAGTCTTTTCAATTGTCTATGCATTACTTCCTGTGTCACTAGTAAGCAATCTATTTAAAAATGCTTTGCTATTAGCATAAGTTTTAGTGACAAAGCCTATAATATTTTCAATTCCCGAAACGTAATAAATAGTATTTAAATTTATTATTCTCGCACTCCAAAGTCTGTTCCCTGTGTAAACATAAGGTGGATAATAGATATATGTAGCCTACATAGTATCTTCATTTATCTAATATAGTATCATACTGGTAGCAGCCTATGTAAGAAATAAAATTTTAGAGGTGCTTTCTAAGTATATATCGTAACACTGACTATTACTTGCAGTAGGGTACCACTTTCCTTTAATATTACTAGAACTAGTTACATCAATTTTAACTAAACCAGCTTATTGAGAACCTAAGCATCCATAAATATAGCTTAAACCTGTTGATATGTCTTTGTAGTATTTGATCTTCTAAATAAACCAGTCAGAGTACCAACCTGTAAAACTAACAGAAAACTTCTCGCTAAAAGTGCTCAAGCTGAACATTGATAGCCAGCCATAATAATTTGTTGTTTCAGCTTAACCAGATATGTACAAGTTAGAACTGCTAATTGTAATCGAACCAGGATACCATTTGTAATTTGAGTTTTCTAGTTCATATTTAGCTGAAACAACTAATGTCATTTTACTTCCATCAATTTAAAATTTCGTAAGGATTAAATCTCCATTGTTGTCAGAGTAAACAAAGTTAAAAACACTGTCAGATTCAAAAATAATTGAATCAGCTCCAGAAAAAGCGTAATGTGACAGATTATCATCAACAATTGTTTTAATGAAAGTTAAAGGATTAGTTGCAAATAGCGCTAATGTAATCACTTTATTTGGAATTGGACCCCAAGCAGATAAGACTGCTACAATATAATTATCATTCATATGTCTTATATTAGATACGTATTAGTATCCACCTGAAACAATCTACTTTGCCCACATCAATTATCCTTTGCTATTGTATTAGACCATTATGGGAGTTTGTATACTGTTGACTATATTGGTTTCATTTGAGGCACCTCCTGCTATAATATAGCCACTTGGACTTACATCAAGAGTGTAAAATAGCGATGATTCATCAAAAGTGGTTGGTGAGCCAAGAGCTTAGGGAAATTAGTAATCAAAGCATTGCACTGATTCTCCTTTTGAGTAATTTATGAGCATCATCAGAAATAAAAGTAATCTGAGTTTCTATTTATGGAGTAAAAAAATCCCATTCTACTTTGACTTGAACTACAGGTTTTGATGAATTCATGAAAAAGTATTATAGTCTCTATCCATAAGTTTTGAGTAAAACATATGTAATTAAAGTATTTTTATCATCTACTTTCCCTAACTATTAATTGTCATGGTATCCATTAAAATTCTTCTTATTAATGTATTATAATAAATTATTTGCTACCCTCCCATTAATTTCTTAGAATTCCTCTAGGGGTTTTGGGGTTTTGGGGTTTTGGGGTTTTGGGGTTTTGGGG